GCCCGCAATTATAAAGTTTTGCAAATTTTTCGGCCCGGCCCGGCCCGCAATTATAAAATTTTGCTTCAGGCCCGGCCGGGCTGCGGGACCCAACGCAGGCCTCTAGTGTGCCGTCTAGTCAATCAAATTTATTAAATTAAATATAATACGAAATAATCACCTAACTAAATTTAATAAAAATTCACCGAATTTTGTTTTGTCAAAGTTTTTAAAAAATTTAACCACAACTTCTAAGATGATTTAATTTTGGCAAACATTGAATGACAGAAACCTTATCAATTTTAATAAACCCTTATTTTGGTAATAATGGGACTAATCGGAATTAAAAAAAAAACATTAATGATTTCATATATACGCGCAAGTTTCCTCTTATATGCTATAATAGTAAATAAAAGTATATAGAAAGCTTTATTGAGGCTACAGGACTCTAAAAGTTACTCTATGTTAAGTTTTTTTTAAAAGGGTGAGAGCTAAAGATGCTTTTTCATTGGTGTGTTCATATACTTTTTTTATGGTTTATTTGTTTTTTTTAAAAAAAAAACTTTAGCTATAAACAATAAAATTATCGTACAGCGCCACGGACCAAATCCTAGTTCCCGGGTATTATACTTGGCAATTTTTTTCTTATATGTACGTAAAATTTTTTTTACCACTAATAAAAATCAATTGATATAGCATACTATATTACACTGGCGATTAGAGGTTGGAACCGGTTTTAATAATTCGGGTTTATCACATGAATTATGTGATATTTTAGAATTTATTAGAATTTAATTGGATAAATTTCTAAAATATCCCAAAACTCACAGGATAAACTCGAATTATTAAAACCGGTTCCAACCTCTACTGGCGATCATAAATAATGCAACACGTGATAATTTTTATAATAAAACATAGTAACTATTGAAATTTTCACTCTACGTATAATAAAAACTTTTAGAAAAAATTTTTGAAAATAATTTTTTTACATCGGAATAAATTTCATCAATTGTAGTTCCTAATAAATATTTTTTCGGATTTTTTAAAAATATTTATGGCAAAGTTGTTCTAAGGTCGAAACCCTAGTAAAAAATTTTATAAGTATTACTTATATATTTTTTTTTACTAGGGTTTCGACCTTAGAACAACTTTGCCATAAATATTTTTAAAAAATCTGAAAAAATATTTATTAGGAACTACAATTGATGAAATTTATTCCGATGTAAAAAAATTATTTTTCTAAAAGTTTTTATTATAGAGTGAAAATTCAATAGTTACTATGTTTTATTATAAAAATTATCACGTTGCATTATTTTTGATTGCCAGTGTATATTCGGGCATTTACTAGAGTTGCAGGCATTAGAATATCATTGAACATATACTATGACGTTTGACGTGAAGTATTGACGTGACGTATTAATCTGATTATATATAAATTTTATATAACATGAAGGGTGACGTGAAAAAGTAGCTACCTTAATGTCTATAACTATAGCATTTACATTTCACCATATAATTTTTTTGATACGAGAGGGTACTATGGTCTATCATACGAAAATTCTACGTATGACATTAGGAATTAATACCATTCTATGTATAACAAAATTACATGTGGACATTTTACTTGATGATTTTTTGCAGGGCAATCCCTAAAGTTCCGAGTCGAATCTGGGCCGGCATTAAGCAATACGTCTTATCAACTGGAAATTTTTGCTCAGCAAATAAGCAATTATTTCATTTAGGTAAAATGAGTTAATTCCGGTCCAGACGATCCAAATGTTAGTAAAATTTATGAGTGCCGACCTATTTCGATAGATTCCGACCGAAATTTTTAGTCGATCTTAATTTTGATTGCCTCGCAATTGACGTATTAGGGTTAGGCCATTCCAAGTTGATTTTACGCTAATGAAATGATCGACGAGTCTAAACAGACATGAGATTTTGATTGGTTAAAATTTTTTTTTTTTTGAATAGTCGAATATGATTTTTGCATTAAGTGATGTTATATCTGAGACTCAAAGAGGGGGGGTTATGTTAAACATAGTTTTAACTTGGCGTGACCTTAGAATTAAGATGTAATTTAGCCGATCTGTCAATACCGGCCAAACAATCAATTTCTGAGGTGCCTTAATTGTCATCTGAGACAAATTGACATTCGAGGCACAACATATACAATAGAGTAGATAACGATAACATGCGCATATAAGTACTAAAACTGCACATATATGTTTGTTACTCTCGATTGATGATTCAAAAAATTATTTGTTTATAAATAAAAAGGACTACTTACTCAATTTGCTAAGCAATTGTTTATAGTTTATTTAAAATCTTTCATCTAACCCTTCTATAATAGGCAAACTTTCTTCTAACTGGTCAATCATTTTACAATTATATTTATATAGTTTAAAGAATACAACATTTCACGAATAAAAAAACAGGCTGTTTTCTTCTCCAAAGTTATGATGTACATACGTATAATCACCATAGGAATTTGGGGTTCTTGTAAAAAATATGATCGTGTCCTGAGATCTCTTTGATTTCTTAAGAATCATCTAATTATTCGAAAACTATCTCGCCACCTTCGGAACTTCCAAGAGTTAGAGATTGTACCCAGATGATCATTTTTATTATATGGCTATAATAATGATCCAAATAACCGGATAATTTAATAATACTCAAGTAGAAATTTTCTTGACGCGTACAATCTCTAGAGTTAGATTATCTATAGGACGAAACCGGGATACAAATTTTCATATCGATATCAGAATTTATGAAAATAGCTGTAATGGTTAGTTAAATATTTCTGTTATGTAATATTTAAAGTATTAATTTAAATGCTAATTATAAACACATTAATGATTGACTAAATCTTATTGGTTTGGACAATCATCTCCGAATAATGAAAATAATGAATTTTGAATTATTATATATTCTCACATAAGTGTAACTTAGAACTTTATATCCTCAGAGACATCACAATAACATGCAACGAATGTTATATACAATTTCACTTATCAATAGATTTATTCGTTATCATATTTACTACATCGATAAAAAGTTTATCGCCAATGCAAATGTGTACTAAAAATACCAAAGATTTGCAATAGTACAATAATATAATCACGCTAGAAAAAAAAAACGCATATAATTCAAGCTAAAATGCTTTTTACAAATAACTTGTTACATAATAACACAAATGAAAAATATGAATAAAATAATCAAATCTTAAGCAATAATTGCCTTCAAGCTTTCAGAAAATTTCGCAATAATATATAATTGACAAATACATTCAAACGATTTATTAATACAATAATGTAATACCAAGGGTTTATTACCGTCTAAAGTTACGGTGCTGTAACAGCCAAGTCTCACTCAAATATTTATTTTCGCCGTTTTTCCCGCAAAAAATCATCTATTCGTTTCTTTAATTCAATATCTAAAATAAATATGTAATTAGGCAATATTCTGCTTTTTACAATTTAATGTTTTAACTTACTTGGTATAACTTGATCAATTGTCAATGGCATACGATTAAAAGGATCTGTTGAATCACTTAATAAGTGTGTTGTGATAGTACTTCGATCGACGCTTACTTTTGATCCGGGTAAGATTACGGGATCTTCCATAATAGTGATTAAAAGTGGATCTGTATAATTTCATATATGTTAGTTAATGTAACTACCATGTGTTAACCAGTCCACTTACCCAAAAATTCATCCGGAATATCACCCAACTCCTCCTCTCCTTCATTTTCCAATTTAATTGTTTCTTCCACTTCATTAACAAATTTCTCCAACTCCCTGACATTCTTTTCTGAATTTAATCTATATTTCAATAAAATACTAGCTGCTTTTGAAAAATACGCTTTATCGTAACTTCGACGATCCATTGCGACTGCTTTTACAAATTCTTTATATTTACATAAGTTCAAATAAATATTAACCAATTGCGACAATAAGTCTCTAGGTTTAAAACTATATGTTTCTGGATTTCTAACTTTAAGTTCTGTACATTTTGGCCCAACTAATGATTTTAAATTATAATCCAACATTGCTGCCAATCGATCAACCATCTGAGGTGTAAGAAATGGATCCGCGACTTCAGCTGTCATATATACCAACATATTTACTGTTTCATTTCCAAGTGACATGTAAGAGGTTGCTGATCGTTCATCAGTACGGAGTGTGCTTTCGCGCTCTTGGCGATATTGCTATCACATTTATTTTTTTATTACAAGAAAATCACATTCATACGATTAATACAATATATTATCATTTATTTGACAAAAAAAATTGTGTTCGTTAACAAACCTGTGGTTTATTTTCCCATTCTTCCCTATTATCCATTTCATTTTGTATAGAATGAATTTCTGCAAGCTTCCTTAAGCTTTCATCTAATAAATAGGTAACGTCATTCATCAACAAATTTGCAAATCGGACAAAAGAATCGATATTCCTGTTAATGAAGTAAAATATATATGCAATAATCCGTAATAAGTTTGTGCAATAATAATATAAAAATATTCTAGTAGAGATGCAGATCTATAGTGGCTGAATTACTTTAACAATATAAATAATAAATATATATCTCTATATTATAATACTACGAGACCGTTTAGTATGACTCACCGACTTTCTTCTCTTAATTTTTCTTTATGTAAATGGTTACCCCATATCTCCTTGAATATTTGTGAAATATTATATCGAATATTAAATTTGTCATAGAATTGCGTATGTGCACCAGTTTGTTCCACCTCTAATAGTTTAAATTGGTTTGTATCAATTAAATAAATTAAATGATTAAATAGGTTACAAGTGATTTATGAAAACAGACTCTTACCGACATAAAAAGACATCAGAGCTGGTAACAAATGGTTCAAGGCAAGAGGATGTGAATTCAATAAATCTACTATACCACCTTCACGATCATTTCGGAATGTAAAATAGAACAAAATCTAAAAATAATGAAAAAATGATTCGTTAGAACATCTCTTTCAAATGATAACCTTCATTGAGAAATAGTAATCAAATTATAATGTACTTCTATTAATTTGGCTTTCAAATATGGTTTCTTAATATAAGAAGAAGATTTGAGAAAAGTGATAATGAAAACTATCAACACATCTCGAGAAGAAACACACGATCTTGGGGTATACCTAAACACAAAGAAATTAACATTATATTAAAGAATAATTTTTATAAACAACTATTAAAAATTATATAGTTACTTTGCGACAAACAGGAATAATTCTGTCACATCTTCAAAAATATGCTCAGGCAACATAGCGAACGTATCAGGCGGTGTTAAAGGAAGTGGTAACCTATACATATGTAATATGTATAAGATATTCGGCACATTACGGGAATATGATTTCAAGGTAATTAAAAGATAAATACTGTATTTGTTTTTCCGGATGTTGTCCGGTTGGATCAACGATTCTCAGCATCCAATTCATCACTAGATTATAAAATTTAAGTGAATGATCCAAATAAACTTGATCCAAGAGTTGAGTTTCGTATGCTATTTTGTGTGATGTAAATTTTTCAAGCTGCGTCTGATTTATTTATATAAAGTTAGCGAAATTCAATGATGAATTCAGTAATGAAGATTGAACATTACGAACTTTACAATGTGCCAATAGCTCCTCATTTCTTGCAGCTATCGGTGTCTAATGATGGAAGATGTTTAAAGTGATGGATCATCATTCGTAAAAGCTGAATGTTAAACGTTTTAAAAGACTTTAGGTCAAATATATCTATATATATACCCCCGCCCAATTAGGTTGATCAGCTCTCATTCGGTCATATTGTTTTTGAAGCTCTGATATATCTCTGATGAAAGTATTATATTTTTCATAGCAATGTAATGGACCATAATGATGCATTGTAATTGTAAGGAAAAATATTTCAGATACAAAATTTGGAGCTATTATTGATACAATAATTAATTATAAACAAAAAAAAAAACTAAATTGTCATTTTAATATTAAATAAACGTAATAGTACCAGATGCGCTTTCATCTACTATCGAAAAGTACGCATCTGCTTCTTGTTTAGTAGCCTTAATTTTAGTCTCCCGGCTAATATCAATTCGATTAGATTTACGAAAATAGTCGACATCTATGCGATCAATCTTTGAAAAAGAACATATATACCATAAATAATTTTAGTTCTAACTTAAATAAAATGAGAGGAAATGATTACCTTTGGATTTAGTATATCCATAATGGGATCTGCAAAATGCAATAATACACTCGTTAAATTCATTAAAAATCCATCAGTTCCAACTTGTAATGGGTCAACCTGAAGTTACGGCATATTTAAAATAAACTTTACTATTGAATCAATAAACGCATGGGAAATAAAGCTGCGATGATATTAACCTGTATCTGAACCCTTCGCTCGTTTAATTTAATAACCTCAGCAAAATAACCAAGTACAGCCTCTCGAGCTGATGGCGAGGAACGAACAATATTATTAAAGATCTTGAAAATAGATTGCTGTTTACTCGTCACATAATTAAGAAACAAAATTTAGACAAGCGACAAGCGTGTGTAAAGTAAACAATAAAAAAGATTAAGCATTGAAAATTCATATCAACCTGCACCCCACGTATAGCAACTCGTATGCTCGTCATCGCTGACTCAACATCAGCTTGCCGTCTTGTATGGAGGTTACCAAAATAACTTTCAGCAATCTTTGGCTGATGCACAAATTGCGATCATTTTAGATAATAAAAATTAATCGAAAGATATCTTTAATTTATAAAGGAAAATAAAAACCTCATCGGTCGGAAAAGCGGAAAATTTACAAAAAGGACCCAAAAATGTACCGACTTCAAACATTCTTGCAGAATTATTTGGAGAACACCAATTGCGTAATGTCGTCATCTGTTTTTCAATACATTTAATACTGACATTTAATACTGTAGTTATTCTATGATGCTTATTTCAAAGCGATTTTTACATTACCTTCTCGGCCAATGGTTTTATTTCCGACAGAGTTACTACCGACTAACATAAAATTGATCGTTTAATTAAATGTCATAATACTAAGACCTCAAATTATATAATGTATCATATTACATTAAGTGGCAGTATATAATCCATGTTTAATATGTTTTTTGTTCTTATTTGGGCATCATATCCCATTAATACTGGAACAAACATCTAAGAAAAGTAAACAAAATATACACAATTATATTAGTTTAAGGTGGAAAATCCAATTGGTTAATCTATTCTTTTTACCTTTTCGAATCCTTCATCATCGACTTTATATACTAATTCTTTAATAAAATCTAGAGGTAATCCTTCTGGAGAATCAAATTCTGCTAATAATCTTGATACAAATTGACTAGGGCCAAGCTCAGTAGAACTAAATTCAATAAACAGTTTTAATAAATTATAACATAATCAAATAGTATCAATCAATGTAATAATAAATACTAACCCCCTTATTTGTGGAAGATCATCGGGATACAGAAGCACATATTGTATGTAGTTAATTATAAGCTCTTTAAGCGTATCTATGACACCGACACGTTCATTGATAACTGATTGTTCTAAATTCTATAAATTTAGTTAATTATTAAAAAAATCTTCAATCATATTAATTCCTGACAATGACATTATGAATTAGTACTTTAGAACTACGTGTTGATCTTTTAATTTCAGAAGCTCTTTTCCAGCTGTCAAGCAGATAATCGAATAAGGGAATTTTAGGAGCCTCAATACCATCACTCATTTGATTAGGATCAAAAGACAGTCGAGCAAAAAGAGCGCTATCAAGAACCGATTTTGACAATTTAAAAGAGAACACTCCTATTAATTATTTAAAGTTTAGTATTATAGTATGCAATGAAATTTGCTAGCATTTAAGAAATAGTCATGTGAATTATGACTAGTATATGTGTTGAATAATACCAGGGTTCTCTTCCATTAACGTTTTCACAACAGAATCGAGATAAATCAATCGATTTCCACTTCTTTCGGCGACCGATTGCTTTGATAGTTAAAGAAAACATTTATCAAGTAAGTAATAAATCAAGTTACCAAGACCACATATGTAATTATCAACTTACATCAAGGGTAATTTGAAGAACTTTAGTGATAGTATCATTTTGCCAGTCTTCAAAGGATTTAATTGGTGGTGAAATTTTAGGAGTAGTCTGTAGTGGAAACAATAAATAGAGTTTTAAATTTCATAAGAAATAAGAAATATTATATAGAGTTATAGAATTCATGCATAAAAATCGACATTGGAATAACTGATCCAATTTTACTATAAATTGGAACAAATGCACTACGGATTATGATTCTAGATTTTTGGCATACAAGAGTAACATAATTCTTTATAAACAAAGTATGTTATCAAATAAAGAAATTAAAACAATAACGACTAGTTCATACCCTCTCAGGAGGTTCTTTATTAACAGGTAGCGAAGATTTTTTGATCGGTGAGGCAGGTTTTTCTTGGATAGGCGTCTTTGATAAAGTACTTGTCCGCGCAGGCACTGTTTTAGAGGACGATGCAGTAGGCTGGGGAGATTCACCTGAATTATTTGAACTTTGTTGCAATTTTGCAAGACGTTTTAAACGTATCTAAAATAATCGGCAGATCAATCGAATGCAATATAGAATGAAATACAGTTTTAGTAATTCTTTTTTAAAAGTAATTATTTATTTTACCTTTTCTGAGTCTGATAATGGAGTTGATTCCTGTACTGGTCCCGGCGGTGGAGGAGACGAATCCATGCTCATAAACGTAAATTCTAGATATTAATGTTCTTTGCTATAGTCGCTACGAATCTTTGCCCGGAATTCTCTTTTTATATACTTTATTTGGATAATATCAGGTGACAAGTAAGATCGTACAGTTGGAAACACGTGTCTTATTGTTTGTCCCATAGATTCCATTGTCGTTTATCACTTGTGTTCATTTTCAAAAATAGATTTCAACTTTCGTAACTTCTCCGGCAAAAAACAAAATTTTAGATCTTTTATTCTTAAGATAAAAGGATCATGTATTTCCTGTTTTTGCTTTGGTGAAGGATATAAAAATCCGTTGAAATTCTACCGTACTTAATTATGATACATGACGAGTATGGTTCGTCTATGCGGGGACAATCTTAATAGTGATTTTGGCCTGATTTTGATAAAATAAAAATGTTTTTATGTTTAAACAATTTCAATTGTTATAAAATATAAGGTGAGTATAAATATTACGATATAATTAAATATGCTAATATAAAAACTTTATTAAACTAATATAAATGTTTGTCATTTCTTATTAAAGTTTATTGTTTTATTTTTATATAGTTTCTTTTCTTCTTTTTTTGTTTGTAAATTTTTCGCTTTTGCATCTTTTTGGCTTCTTGTGTTATCTAACATTAAGTAATTATTTTTTCTTTTTGTTAACAGTTTTTTTGTTTTTTTTGTTTTCTTAACAAATACAAGGATTCTTTGTTAATGAAAAGCTGAACAAAAAGTATGATTTTGTTTTTTTTCAGTTATTAAATTTTAGATTATTGTTTATTTGCTTAAGTATTAGTTACAAAAGACCAATGTTAGAAGTTTTATAAAGATTTAATTCAGATTTTAAGTATTTAATCTTCTTATTAAGTAATTTTATTTCTAATTACAATTTTTTATTTGTAATAATTTGGTTTAAATAACTTGAAATAATTTTAGATAAAAAAAATAAAATTAATATAATAAATAAATAAGTTAATTGTTTAAAATTTAAAAGGTTAAATTTTTGTATTGTTATTAAGAGATTTAAATAATTAGAACTAATAGTATTAGAATTGAATAATCATATTTCTATTGTTTTAAAAGCATTACATATTACTATAAAGATGTATATTTTAATATAAGTCTATATAGAGATTTTAACAAATATATATTTGGTTATGAATTTGCTATTATTAATAAAAAAACTTATTATATTTATTGTTATAAATTTTTTAAGCTAAGTAAAAAATAGTTTAGCAGATTGTAGAATATAAGTAATATGCAATAAAAAATATAAAGAAAAATATTATTTTTATACAGTCAGAGAATTTACCAAATTAGGAAATCATATTCTAGAATGATCTATGAGTAGATTCTTAAATTTGATTGGCTCTCACATGCCTTTTACTCCTCAAAAGTCACACGTTCAAAAATTTTTTTTTAATAATTATCAAAACCAAATAAGCTTTAAGTATATAGTTCAAGACGTCTAGTTTTCATCATCCCAAAGAATCTCTCATGGTAAACTTTTTGGGTAGAAATAAATGAGACACTAAAAATAGGTATTTATTTCGTATAGAATGTTTAGATTCGTTGTCAGTTCATTTAAGATTGCTTTAAAATTTTGTGTCAGTATTTCGAAGTTTTTAAGTTTATTTTATATATAGTA